CCCCAAAAAAACCCCAAAAAAACCCAAATAAAAAAAAAAACAAAAAAATTTACCCAAAAAAAACCTTAAAAAAACCCAAAATAAAAAAAAAAACAAAGAATTCCCTCCCAAAATCCCCCCAAAAATATCCCCCAAAAAACCCCAAAAATCCCAAATACCCCAAAACCCGAAAAATTCACCCCAAAAAACCCTTAAACCCCCCAAAAAAACCCTTAAAAACCCCCCAAAATTCACCAAAATCCCAAAAACCGCAAAGAATTTCTTCCCAATATCCCTCCCAAAAACCCAAAAATATCCCCAAAATTAACCCAAATACCCCAAAAAAACCCCAAATTCCAACCCAAAATTACCCCAAATTATGCCCAAAATTCCCCCAAATTCTGACCTAAAATTAACCCAAATATCCCCCAAAATTCGCCCAAATTCCGACCAAAAATTACCCCAAATTTCTCCCAAAACCACCCAAAAACCCCAAAATTCCCCCGAAAATCCCCCAGAAAAACCCGATTCCCCAAAAAACCCAAAATCCATCCAAAACCTCCCAAAATCCCTCCCAAAAACTCCCCAAAAACCTCCAAAATCCACCAAAAACCCCAAAATCCACCAAAATTCCCCCAAATTCCCCCCAAAACCCCAAATTTTTCTCATTTTGCCCCAAATTTTCTCATTTCCTCCCCAAAATTTTCACTTTCCCCCCAAGAATTTTGGAATTTCCCCCCAAAATTCCAGATTTCCCCCAAAATTCGGGATTTCCCCCCAAATTTTCACATTTTGCCCCCAAAATTTGACATTTCCCCTCCCAAATTTTTTCATTTCCTCCCCAAAATTTCAAAATTTCCCCAAATTTTGGCGTTTCCCCCCAAATTTTGGTCGTTTCCCCCCGAAATTCAGGATTTTCCCCAAAATTTGACATTTCCACCCCAATTTTTGACATTTTATTCCCAAATTTTGGTTGATTTCCCCCCAAAATTTTGGATTTTCCCCAAACTTTGGTCTTTTCTCCCCAAATTTTGACTTTCCCCCCCAAATTTTGACATTTCCTTAAAATTTTCAACTTTCACCCCCAAAATTATGGATTTTCCCCAAATTCCCACTTTTTCCCCCCAAATTTTGACATTTCCCCCCAAAATATTCACATTTCCCCTCCAAAATTTTGGATTTTGCCCAAATTTTCACTTTTTTTCCTCCCAAAATTTTGTTTGATCCCCCCACCCAAAATTCCAGATTTTCCCCCAAATTTTGCTCTTTTCTCCCTTAAATTTTGACATTTTTCCCCCAAAATTTTTGTGATTTTTTTCCCCCCAAAAATTCCAGATTTTCCCCGAATTTTGCTCTTTTCTCACCCAAATTTTGACATTTTTCCCCCCAATTTTTTGTGATTTCCCCCCCAAAAGTCTCTGGTTTCCCCATGATTTTTAAATTTGCCCAAAATTCGTTTTTTTCCCCCCAAATTTGGGCTCACCACGCGCTCCATGACGGCGACGAAGGCCCAGAACGCTTCGGCCTCGTCGGGGCAGACGGAGACCAGGGGGGCCAGGACCTCGCTCATCCCCCCCACGTACCCTGCACCCAAAATTTGGGAACCCAAAATTCGGGAGATCCCAAAATTTGGGGGGTCCCCAAAAAATCCCGAATTTTCCCCAAAAAAATTCCATCAAAAATCGCGAATTTCCCCTCAAAATTCGCTCAAAAATAGCGAATTTACGGTCAAAAATCATAAATTTCCTCCCAAAAAAATCCTAAAATTTGACACCAAAAAATCCCAAAATTCTCCCCAAAAAAATCCCAAAATTCCCCCCAAAAAATCCTAAGATTTGCCCCAAAAAATCCCACATTTTTCCCAAAAATTCCCTCAAAAATCCCGAATTTCCCCCAGGCCCTCGCTCATCCCCCCCACGTACCCTGCACCCAAAATTTGGGAACCCAAAATTCGGGAGATCCCAAAATTTGGGGGGTCCCCAAAAAATTCCCCAAAAAATCCCGAATTTTCCCCCAAAAATTCCATCAAAAATCGCGAATTTCCCCTCAAAATTCCCTCAAAAATAGCGAATTTACGGTCAAAATTCCCAAATTTTCTCCCCAAAATCCACCCAAAAATCCCAAAAAATCCCCCAAAATCACCAAAATTTCCCACATATCCCACAAAATCCCAACAAAAACCCCCAAATTTCCCCAAAAATCCCCCAAATCCCCAAAAATCCCCAAATTTTCCCAAAAATCCCTAAAAATCCCCAGATTACCCCCAAAAATCCCCAAAAGTCTTCCCAAAACCCCCCCAAATCCCAACAGAAATCCTAAAAAATTCCCAAAAATCCCCCCAAAATCCCCAAATTTCCCCCCAAAATCCCCAAATTTCCCCAAAAATCCAAAAAAATCCAAAAAAAGTCGCCAAAAAATCCCCCCTAAACCTCCGAATAATCAAAAAATATTTTAAAAATTCCCAAAAATCCCGCAAAAAAACCCCAAAATCTCAACAAAATTCCGCCAAAATCCCCAAAAAATTCCCCAAATTTCCCCAAAATTCCCCAAAATGGTGTTTTTTTACCCAGGTTGAAATGGAACATGCAGAAGGTCAGGAGAGCCCTGAGCCCCAAATCCCCAAAATCCCCCAAAAATCCCCCCAAAATTCCCAAAAATTCCCCAAAATCCCCAAATCTCCCCAAAATTGCCCAAATTTGGGTTTTTTTTACCCAGATCGAAGTGGAACATGCAGAAGGTCAGGAGAGCCCTGAGCCCCAAATCCCCCAAAAATCCCCCCAAAATCCCCCAAAAATCCCCCAAAATCCCCCCAAAATTCCCCAAAATCCCCCAAAATCCCCAAATCTCCCCAAAATTGCCCAAAATTGGTGTTTTTTTACCCAGATCGAAGTGGAACATGCAGAAGGTGAGCAGCAGCTCCCGCAGCCGCGCCGGCGGCGCCCAGGGCGGGGCCCGAGCCAGGTCCCGCTCTGGGAGATTTGGGGGAATTTTGGGACATTTTGGGACATTTTGGGACATTTTGGGACATTTGGGGATTTTTTGGGGATTTTTGGAGGAGATTTGGGGACATTTTGGGGAGAGTTCAGGGGGATTTGGGGACATTTTAAGGACATTTTTGGGACTTTTGGGGACATTTTGGGACTTTTTCAGGGGAGATTTTGGGGAGTTTTGGGATTTTTTGGGGGACATTTTGGGGATGTTTGGGAGTTTTTGGGACATTTTGGGGGAGATGTGGTTTTTTTGGGGACATTTTGGGGATGTTTGGGAGTTTTTTGGGACATTTGAGGACACTTGGGACTTTTTTTGGGGGGATTTGGGGACATTTTGGGGAGATTTTTGGGATATTTGGGGAGAATTTGGGACGTTTTTGGGGACATTTTGGGGAGATTTGGGATTTTTGGGGACATTTTGGGATATTTGAGGACAAATTGGGACGTTTTTGGGACATTTTGGAGGAGATTTGGAGTTTTGGGGACATTTTGGGGATGTTTGGGACTTTTTGGGGGAGATTTGGGATTTTTTGGGGGGATTTGGGGGGAGATTTGGGGAAATCTGGGGGAGATTTGTGGAGATTTGGGATTTTTTGGGGACATTTTGGGGAGATTTGGGATTTTTGGGGGGATTTGGGGAGATCTGGGACATTTTGGGGAGATTTCAGGGGGATTTGGGGACATTTTCGGATTTTTGGGGAGATTTTGGAGGAGATTTGGGGTTTTGGGGACATTTTGGGGATGTTTGGGACTTTTTGGGGAGATTTTGGGACATTTTGGGGGACATTTGGGAATTTTTGGGACATTTGGGATTTTTTCGGGGGGATTTGGGGGAGATTTGGGATTTTTTGGGGCACGTTTGGGACATTTTGGGGATTTTTTGGGGGAAATCTGGCGGAGATTTGGGGAGATTTTGGGGCTCTTTTGGACATTTTTGGGGAGATTTGGGATTTTTTAGGGACATTTGGGATTTTTGGGGGGAATTTGGGGGAGATTTCAGTTTTTGGGGACATTTTGGGGATGTTTGGGACTTTTGGGGAAAATTTTGGGACATTTTGGGATTTTTTTGGGGACATTTTGGGGGAGATTTGGGATTTTTTGGGGGAGATTTGGGATTTTTTGGGGACATTCTGGTGACTTTTGGAGACATTTTGGGATTTTTTGGGGACATTTGGGATTTTTTTGGGGACATTTGGGATTTTTTTGGGGGGATTTGGGGGAGATTTGGGGACATTTTGGGGAGATTTTTGGTTATTTGAGGACAATTTGGGACTTTTTGGGGGAGATTTGGGTTTTTGAGGACATTTCGGGTCAGTTTTGGGTAATTTTGGGTCAGTTTGGGAAAATTTTTGGGGTGATTTTTGGGTGATTTTGGGGTGATTTTTGGATGATTTTGGGGTGATTTGGGGATGATTTTGGGGTGACTTTTGGGGTATTTTTGGGGTGATTTTTGGGATATTTTTTGGGTGATCTTGGGGAGATTTTTGGGGTGATTTTGGGAGATTTTGGGGTGGTATTTTTGGGTGATTTTGGGGTGATTTTTGGGGTGATCTTTGCGGTGATTTTGGGATATTTTTGGGGTGATTTTGGGATGATTTTGGGATAATTTTTGGGGAGATTTTTTTGGGTAATTTTTGGGTGATTTTGGGGTGGTTTTTGGAGTGATTTTGGGAGATTTTGGGGTGATTTTTGGGATATTTTTTGGCTGATTTTTGGGTGATTTTGGGGTAATGTTTGGGGTGATTTTTGGGAGATTTTGGGGTCATTTTTGGGTGATTTTTGCAGTGATTTTTGGGATATTTTTGGCGTGTCTTTGGGGTAATTTTGGGGTGATTTTGGGGTGTTTTTTGGGGTGATTTTTGGGTGATTTTGGGGTGATCTTTACAGTGATTTTGGGGTGATTTTGCAGTGATTTTGGGGTGATTTTGGGGTGATTTTTGGGTGATTTTGGGGTGATTTTTGGGTGATTTTGGGGTGATCTTTGCAGTGATTTTTGGGATATTTTTAGGGTGATTTTGGGATATTTTTGTGGTGATCTTTGCAGTGATTTTGGGGTGATTTTTGGGATATTTTTGGGGAGATTTTGGGGTGATTTGGGGGGATTTTGGGGTGATTTTGCAGTGATTTTGGGATATTTTTGGGGTGATTATGGGGTGATTTTGGGGTGATCTTTGCAGTGATTTTGGGGTGATTTTGCAGTGATTTTTGGGATATTTTTGGGGTGATTTTGGGGTGATTTTGGGGTGATCTTTGCAGTGATATTGGGGTGATTTGGGGGTGATTTTGGGGTGATTTTGGGGAGATTTTGGGGTGATCTTTGCAGTGATTTTGGGGTGATTAGGGGGTGATTTTTGGTATATTTTTGGGATATTTTTGGGGTGATTTTGGGGTGATTTTGGGGTGATTTTGGGGAGATTTTGGGGTGATTTTGGGGTGATCTTTGCAGTGATTTTGGGGTGATTTTTGGGATATTTTTGGTATATTTTTGGGGTGATTTTGGGGTGATTTTGGGGTGATCTTTGCAGTGATTTTGGGGTGATTTTGGGATATTTTTGGGGTGATTTTTGGGCGATTTGGGGGGATTTTGGCTCTCACCCATGCGCTCCCGGTAGCCGCTGAGGATTTTGTTCCTGCGCAGCTGCCCCGGGCTCAGCGAGCGCCACTGGAGCTTCATCCGGAAATAATCCTCCCTGGAAAAGCACCCCAAAAAACACCTGAGCACCCCAAAAAACACCCTGAGCACCCCAAAAACAGTCAAAAACACCCCAAAAAACACCTGAGCACCCCAAAAACAGCCAAAACCACCCCAAAACCATCCCAAAAAACACCCTGAGCACCCCAAAAACACCCTGAGCACCCCAAAAAACACCCTGAGCACCCCAAAAAACACCCTGAGCACCCCAAAAACATCCTGACCAACCCAAAAACATCCTGAGCACCCCAAAAAACATCCTGAGCACCCCAAAAAACACCTGAGCAACCCAAAAACATCCTGAGCACCCCAAAAACATCCTGAGCACCCCAAACAGCCAAAAACACCCCAAAAAACATCCTGAGCACCCCAAAAAATCCTGAGCACCCCAAAAACATCCTGAGCACCCCAAAAACACCCTGAGCACCCCAAAAACATCCTGAGCACCCCAAAAACATCCTGAGCACCCCAAAAAACACCTGAGCACCCCAAAAAACACCTGAGCACCCCAAAAACATCCTGAGCACCCCAAAAACAGCCAAAACTACCCCAAAACCACCCCAAAAAACACCCTGAGCACCCCAAAAAACACCCTGAGCACCCCAAAAACGTCCTGAGCACCCCAAAAAACACCCTGAGCACCCCAAAAACACCCTGAGCACCCCAAAAAACACCCTGAGCACCCCAAAAACACCCTGAGCACCCCAAAAAACACCTGAGCACCCCAAAAAACACCCTGAGCACCCTAAAAAACACCCTGAGCACCCCAAAAACGTCCTGAGCACCCCAAAAACACCCTGAGCACCCCAAAAACACCCTGAGCACCCCAAAAACAGCCAAAACCACCCCAAAACCACCCCAAAAAACACCCTGAGCACCCCAAAAAACACCTGAGCACCCCAAAAACGTCCTGAGCACCCCAAAAAACATCCTGAGCACCCCAAAAAACACCCTGAGCACCCCAAAAAACACCTGAGCACCCCAAAAACACCCTGAGCACCCCAAAAACACCCTGAGCACCCCAAAAACATCCTGAGCAACCCAAAAAACA